AAAGAACCAGCTTTTAGTTTTATTGATCTTTGCTCTTGTTTCCTTTATTTCTTTTTCATTTATTTCTGATCTGATCTTTATGATTTCTTTCCTTCTGCTAACTTTGGGGTGTTTTGTTCTTCTTTCTCTAATTGTTTTAGGTGTGAGGTTAGGTTGTTTATTTGAGATTTTTCTTGTGTCTTGAGGTAGGATTGTATTGCTCGAAACTTCCCTCTTAGAACTCCTTTTGTTGCATCCCAAAGGTTTTGGGTCGTCATGTTATCATTGTCGTTTGTTTCTAGGTTTATTGTTTAGCCTCCATGTGTTTGTGTTTGTGTTTGTGTTTTTTACAGACTTTTTCCTGTAATTGATATCTAGTCTCATAGTGTTGTGGTCCGAAAAGATACTTGATAGGATTTCAATTTTCTTAAATTTACCAAGGCCTGATTTGTGACCCAAGGTATGATCTATCCTGGAGAATGTTGCATGAGCACTGGAAAAGAAAGTGTATTCTGTTGTTTTTGGATGGAATGTCCTGTAAATATCAATTAAATCTATCTGGTCTATTGTGTCATTTAAAGCTTGTGTTTCCTTATTTGTTTTCATTTTGCATGATCTGTCCTTGGTGAAAGTGGGGTGTTAAAGTCCCCTACTATGATTGTGTTACTGTTGTTTTCCCCGTTTATGGCTGTTAGCATTTGCTTTGTGTATTGAGGTGCTCCTATGTTGCGTGCATGAATATTTACAATTGTTATATATTCTTCTTGGATCGATGCCTTGATCATTATGTACTGTCCTTCCTTGTCTCTTGTAATAGTCTTTATTTTAAAGTCCATTTTGTCTGATATGAGTATTGCTACTCCAGGTTTCTTTTGATTTCCATGTGCATGGTATATCTTTTTCCATTCCCTCACTTTCAGTCTGTATGTGTCCCTAGGTCTGAAGTGGGTCTCTTGTGGACAACATATATACAGGTCTTGTTTTTCTATCCATTCAGCCAGTCTGTGTCTTTTGGTTGGAGAATTGAATCCATTTACATTTAAGGTAATTATCGATATGTATGTTCCTATTCCCACTTTCTTAATTGTTTTGGGTTTGTTATTATAGGTCTTTTCCTTCTCTTGTGCTTCCTGCCTAGAGAAGTTCCTTTAGCATTTGTTGTAAAGCTGGTTTGGTGGTGCTGAATTCTCTTAGCGTTTGCTTGTCTGTAAAGGTTTTAATTTGTCCATGGAATCTGAATGAGAACCTTGCTGGGTAGAGTAATCTTGGTTGTAGTTTTTTCCCTTTCATCACTTTAAATGTGTCCTGCCAGTCGCTTCTGGCTTGCAGAGTTTCTGCTGAAAGATCAGCCGTTAACCTTATGGGGATTCCCTTGTATTTTATTTGTTGTTTTTCCCTTGCTGTTTTTAATATTTTTTCTTTGTACTTAATTAAAAAAAATAAATGTATTTATTTATTTATTTTTTGCTCTGTTGGGTCCTCATTGCTGTGTGCGGGCTTCCTCTAGTTGTGGTGAGCGGGGGCTGCTCTTCTTTGCGGTGCATGGGATTCTCATTGTCGTGGCTTCTCATTTTGCAGAGCACGGGCTCTAGGCACGCAGTCTTCATTAATTGTGCATGGGCTTATTTGCTCCGCGGCATGTGTTATCTTCCCGGGCCAGGGCTCGAACCTGTGTTCCTTGCATTGGCAGGCAGATTCTTAACCACTGTGCCACCTGGGGAGCCCATGTATTTAATTTTTTTTTTTTAACATCTTTATTGGGGTATAATTGCTTTACAATGGTGTGTTAGTTTCTGCTTTATAACAGAGTGAGTCAGTTATACATATATATATGTTCCCATATCTCTTCCCTCTTTGTCTCCCTCCCTCCCACCCTCCCTATCCCACCCCTCCAGACAGCCACAAAGAACCGAGCTGGTTTCCCTGTGCCATGCGGCTGCTTCCCACTGGCTATCTACCTTACGTTTGTTAGTATATATATGTCCATGTCTCTCTCTCGCCCTAACACACCTCACCCTTCCCCCTCCCCATATCCTCAAGTCTGTTCTCCAGTAGGTCTCTGTCTTTATTCCTGTTTTACCCCTAGGTTCTTCATAACATTTTTTTTTCTTAAATTCCATATATATGTGTTAGCATACGGTATTTGTCCTTCTCTTTCTGACTTACTTCACTCCGTATGACAGACTCTAGATCTATCCACCTATCATTATGTAGTGTCCTTCTTTGTCTCTTCTGATAGTCCTTATTTTAAAGTCTATTTTGTCTGATATGAGAATTGCTACTCCAGCTTTCTTTTGGTTTCCATTTGCATGGAATATCTTTTTCCATCCCCTTACTTTCAGTCTGTATGTGTCTCTAGGTCTGAAGTGGGTCTCTTGTAGACAGCATATATATGGGTCTTGTTTTTGTATCCATTCAGCCAATCTGTGTCTTTTGGTGGGAGCATTTAGTCCATTTACATTTAAGGTAATTATCGATATGTATGTTCCTATTCCCATTTTCTAAATTGTTTTGGGTTCGTTATTATAGGACTTTTCCTTCTCTTGTGTTTTTGTCTAGAGAAGTTCCTTTAGCATTTGTTGTAAAGCTGGTTTGGTGGTGCTGAACTCTCTCAGCTTTTGCTTGTCTGTAAAGGTTTTAATTTCTCCATCAAATCTGAATGAGATCCTTGCTGGGTAGAGTAATCTTGGTTGCAGGTTTTTCTCCTTCATCACTTTCAGTATGTCCTGCCACTCCCTTCTGGCTTGTAGAGTTTCTGCTGAGAGATCAGCTGTTAACCTTATGGGGGTGTTCCTTGCATTGGCAGGCAGATTCTTAACCACTGTGCCACCCGGGGAGCCCATGTATTTAATTTTTGATAGTTTGATTAGTATGTGTGTTGGCATATTTCCTCTTGGATTTATCCTGTATGGGCATCTCTGTGCTTCCTGGATTTGATTGGCCATTTCCTTTCCCATATTAGGGAAGTTTTCAACTATAATCTCTTCAAATATTTTCTCAGTCCCTTTCCTTTTCTCTTCTTCTTCTGGAACCCCTATAATTCGAATGTTGGTGTGTTTAATGTTGCCCCAGGGGTCTGTGAGACTCTCCTCAATTCTTTTCATTTTTTTTTTCTTTATTCTGGTCTGTGGTAGTTTTTTACACTATTTTTTCTTCCAGGTCACTTATCCGTTCTTCTGCCTCAGTTATTCTGCTTTTGATTCCTTCTAGAGAATTTTAAATTGCATTTATTGTGTTGTTCATCATTGTTTGTTTGCTCTTTAGTTCTTCTAGGTCCTTGTTAAATGTTTCTTATATTTTCTCCATTCTGTTTCCAAGATTTTGGATCATCTTTACTGTCATTCCTCTGAATTCTTTTTCAGGTAGACTGCCTATTTCCTGTTCATTTGTTTGGTCTGATGGGTGTTTACCTTGCTTCTTCATTTGCTGTGTGTTTCTCTGTTTTCTCATTTTGCTTAACTTTCTGTGTTTGGGGTCTCCTTTTTGCAGGCTGCACGTTCGTAGTTCCTGTTGTTTTTGGTGTCTGCCCCCAGTGGTTGAGGTTGGTTCTGTGGGTTGTGTAGGCTTGCTGGTGGAGGGGACTAGTGCCTGCGTTCTGGTGGGTGAGGCTGGATCTTGTCTTTCAGGTGGGCAGGGCTGCATCCGGTGGTGTGTTTTGGGGTGTCTGTGAACTTAGTATGACTTTAGGCAGCCTCTCTGCTAGTGGGTGGGGTTGTGTTCCTGTCTTGCTAGTTGTTTGGCATGTGGCGTCCAGCACTGGAGCTTGCTGGCTATTGGGTGGAGCTGGGTCTTGGCGTTGAGACGAAGATCTCTGGGAGAGCTCTTGCTGATTGATATTACATGGGGCTGAGAGGTCTGGTGGACCAGTGTCCTGAACTCGGCTCTCCTACCTGGGAGCCTCAAGCCTCACAGCAGGCTGGAGCACCAAGACCATGTCAGCCACATGGTGGATGGTTTAAGGAGCCCTGCCTGGGCACCTGGAGTGTAGTGGGTGTGCGGTGAACCGCAGCCCAAGATCTACATGCTCAGTGGAATCGCACTCCGCCAAGGAAACACAGAGCTGAGTTCCTATCCTGGCAGCAGGAGAAAGGGTATGATTTATTTTTAAGGGACAGAAAGTTGTTTAAATATTAGCCCACATATTACAGATTTGGAAATAAACTGCATATAGTTATATAGAGCACGGTGTGCTTTTCTAAGGAGTTTGTAAAGAATGTGGTTTAACTTGGCCAGTGTGTGATGATAAACTTATTTCTTGCGTGTGATCATGAGCCTTATTTATAATTCGATAGCAGATGTTTGTTTTCATTGTTAAATTACAACTCAGACATTCTTGGCTTAACTCCAGGTTTCTCTGTATCTCACAAAATTTTTTTAAAAAGTTAGAATGAAACTTTCTTTCAGAAGATGCTTCAAATGGGGCCAGATTATTTTAGAAACAGATTTAATTATCCCTGATAATAAGGATCAGAGGGCGCAAAGGAAATTGAGATCTTTGAAGAATCCCTAAATATCATTTTAGTCCATCATTTGCAGGCTCTCCTACTCCTCTCAGACCCACTCACTTACAGGGCAGCAGTGCTGCCTTGTTGGGATTCTGGATTTCTGGCTCCCAGCTCAGGCTAATGAGCAGTATAATGGCTGAGAGCTTGGGAGAAATAGGAGAGGAGCCAAAGGGCCTAGAGTATTTGAAACTAAATAATTAACATCAGATGAATTGGGGATTGACTGTCCTTCCCATGTTGGGTTCCAGTCTTTTGATCAAAGGGTGTCATTTCCTTACTGTTTTACACTGTCTTAATCACAACAGCCTATATAGATATTTGGATTTTGGATAGGAGGAAAATGAAAAAGGGATTGGAAATAGCATGTACTCTTTTTCTTTTAAGGAAAAAAAAAGCCCTCAGGTAGATTTTAAAAATTTAAAATGGTTAAATGCGATAGCTCTTCCCAGTTAACAAGTGGAAGAGTGCTGTGTGTTGTTTTCGGTGGTCCTTAACGGTGTGTATTTTTCTTTTCAGCTTCTAAGTCAGGATTGTTACCTCCACCACCCGCACTTCCTCCGAGACCTTGTCCATCGCAGGTAGGAGACGACGTTGATTTCTGAGAACTGTCAGTAGGCAGTTGTCCTCCCACTGTGGTTCCTTTGCGAGGGTTGATCACCACAGAACTGGCTGGTCAGGTTCCCAAGATGATGTCTGGACTGGACCGGGAGAGCAGAGTGGGGTTGAATTTCTTCCTATCCAGCCAGCCCCCAGCCTCATGTGGAAAGGGGACAGTTTCCTCAATAAGCAACCAAGCAAATGTGTCAAACAGTTCAGTCTTGGCTGTAGAGGGTTGCGTGTGGTTTTCATTACAGAGAGAGGAGCAGAAGGGGTGCCTCTCCGATTGGTGCTGGGGAACGTGGCTTTTCTGTGTAGTATGTGCAGTCTGAGTGCCTATATTTTCCTCAGTGTTTTAGGAGTTGTGTTAATTCTGCATAAACTAAAAATAAATGGTCCTCAGCATGGAGTTAGTGCGCCCACAGTGCTTTTTTTAGGATGGTGTTTTCCTTTGGGACAAAAAGCTGAATCAGCAGCGTTGGGAGACTGTATCACCTGAATCTGTTTTACCTGTGAATGAATTCCGCCTTATTGACATGTGCTACTATGGCCTTTTACATGAACACTCTTTGTAGAGTTGAAAATGAGAAGCAAACAGCAAATCCGTGGAGTGTGGTAAAGAGTGCTACAGATCCTTCCTTTCATTAATTGCTCCTGAAGAAACTATCTTTAAAGACCCTCTCTGACTTTGGGCAGGAAATGTCGAGAAATTTCTCTGTAAAGCGACCCAGTTTCTACCTCATTTCTCTGGGTAGTTCAGAGCATACGTTTCCATATGGTGCATCTCAGGAGTCGCTGAGTCACTGAAACCACTTTAAACATTGGCTTGTCCTTCTTTTAGAGAATTAGGTGGTCTTTAGTGTCCGCTCAACCTCGAGATGCAAATACCATGAGACATGGGCTTCCTCCTTCAGTTTGAAGGGTAATTAAACCCCTCTTCCTCCTGACCCACATATAAATGAGAACCGTTTTTTCAATATTCCAGCGTTAGCTTTACGAGAGATTAATTAACCAGTCAACAAGTGTTTATTGAGTCCCTGCTATTTACTACTGCCAAGCTTTAGTTCCATCCTTGCCCTTCCTTGGCTGTGATTTCTACTCATTTAAATTATTAGCTGTGTTTACTGAGCATCTATAGGAGAGCACGCATTTGTGCTAAGTGCTTTCAATGCATTATTTAATCTTCACAAAAACCCTAAGAAGTAGGTATAAATATTAACCTTAAAAAAAAAACAAAAAAAAAAACAGATGAGGAAGTTGAAGCATACAGGGGTTAAGCAAGTTACCCAAGGTGACATAGCTAGTAAACAGTAGAGCCAAGGTCCATCTCCTGAAGGTTCCTCCCCCTTCCCATTGTTGGAGTCAAAGTATCCGTGTGTACAGGAAGACAGGGCTCCATTGCACTGGCAGTTGAGGCTTTCACCACGTCCCCCAGGAGGACCTAGATGAGCTGATGCTCCTGATTTACACCAACAGCAAGCCTGTCACAACATTAGTGGGCGTTCCGGAGGTGCTTATCTACCAGCTGCTGGTTTCAGACCAGGACTTGGGAGCCACCTGGATGAATGCTTGGAACACTTGTCTGAAAGGGCTTTTGTGACCAACCTCCTTATGTTTCTCCTGCTGCACAAGTGACAGTAGTTAGTTCCTGGTTGTGAACCGTGCTGCCGCTATCAGCAGTCCTCATCTGAGCTGCTCTAGGTGGGCTTCCTGCCTGCTCTGGGGCTTGGTGAGTGAGGAGCTGGTGGGGGCCTGGGAATTCTGAAGTCACTGTTAACAAAAGAGACTGCTTGTTTGTCTATCAGATTTCCCATCACAGTGTAAACAGTGAGCCTAGCACTCAGCCCAAGCCTCCAGCTCAGCTGCCTAACTATGGAGTTTTCAGACTTTAGAAACAGGTGTGTACGAAAAGCAGGCAGAAGAGCCCTCCACCACTTCACTCCCCTACACTCCCCTCCTCGCCCACTGTACGTGGGACACACACAGTCAACAGAGGAAGTCCTGGCTGATCCACACACGGTGGTGTTTAGTCTTTGTGCCGTGTCAAATTCCTACTGTTGGCTCCAGGAGAAAGTCACCTAACCATCTGTATGGAGCACCTATATGTTTCAGTCTTTCCCAAACTACTTGTGATGAAGCATTCTCCTGGGAGATATTAATAGGGCTGTGTGGTAAGACAGATTTGTTGCCTCTGTACCTGCTCTGGGAGATTTGCAGTGCACGCCAGCTCATTAAGGGCTTTGAAGTCCCACAGTAAAGCAACCTGGTCAATTTTTTTTTTTTTTTTTTTTTTTGCCATCACATCTTCATTTACTCAAGTATTAGGGTTGGGGTTCTTTGACACTTTGTCTTGAAATTTCTTCTTCTCTATACAAGTTTTCCTAGGTGGGCTGGGTAAACACCTATATCTAAATGACTCCCAAATTTATATCCCTAGGTCTGATATCTTCTCTGAATCCTAAACATGTATTAACCTGAAAGTCAATACTGGGAAACTAAACCCAGGAACCTCTACCCCTTAAAATTGCCTTCCTTTAGAGTTCCTTATCCCAGTAAATGACATTTCCCAATAGTCCCAAGGGACCAGACACCTAGGAATCAAAGTTTAACCTTCCTACCCCATAAACTTTATATCTAATCCATCACATTACATGGGCCTCTCACTGTTGTGGCCTCTCCCGTTGCGGAGCACAGGCTCCGGATGCGCAGGCTCAGCGGCCATGGCTCACGGGCCCAGCCACTCCGCGGCATGTGGGATCTTCCCGGACCAGGGCATGAACCCGTGTCCCCTGCGTTGGCAGGCGGACTCTCAACCACTGCGCCACCAGGGAAGCCATAACCTGGTCAATTTTGTTAAAGCTGGCAGCTTTCTAGCTTGTGACCATTCATCCTGTTATTTATAAAATACTGTTAATATCCTGAGGGCGTAGCACATGATTATACACCAGCCTTAAGGTATTGGTAAGAACATTTCCAAACATCTTTAATCTGTCACCTCATCTGTATATTATGTGATTAAAGTTAAATTTTTATATCTTATGCCAATAGGTTTCCCTAAAAGAGGTGAAAATGAAAAAGAAAGTTTACCACACATTAGCTTGGGATTTCAAATTGTTGTGTTTTCGGTTTGTTGTGTTTTCTTCGTTGCTTCCTCATGAGAGAGGAAGAAGGAACAGAAAAGCAACAAATTTTATTATAGAGAACTTAAATACTCTGAGTTATTCTTTTGCTATGTTAAAATTTTTTGACTGTTCTTTGGTATATATGGACAATCAAGGTGACTTTGGAAAAAAATATATATATACTTAACTACAGAGACTTCTTTTGTAGGGCTTAAACTGTAGTACTTAGGGGAGAAACCAGGAAGCCTTGTATAATTAAAATCATTGTATTTATTAGTAGCTTTGAGAAGAGATTAAGATAAAAAGTTTTTGAATTTAACATTTTCATATTATATAACTTGATAAACGGGCAAGACTAGATTATAATAAAGAAAACATTTTATTCCCACAAGAGGAACACTATTTAAAAAAACTATGTGGCCAATCAGTAATGCACTATCAGTTTTTAAGTATGTAAGAGAGTTTGTACAGTTGCAGATACGTGCACAAAGATATACATATATATATATATGTTTATATATATATACAGATAGATAGATAGATACATACATACATACATACACCAAAAGTCTGTCTCTAATTTTATCAAGTGAGAGATGAGATTTAGGTTTTCAGCATAAAATGCAGCCTCACTGGCCCTTAGTTAGACCAGGCACCACCATGATATGAACATCTGGATTAAGTTATACAAATGGGGCCCTGGAGTTAGGAAAAGGAATAAATTCAAAGAAACTGATCTTATTTTTCATGCTATATAGGTAAGATCAAGAAGGACCAAGTGAGTATATAAAGAATCAAACGTTTTGGTCCCATGTTTTCCTGTGGACAGGCCAGAGAGCAGGGTGTAGTATTTTGGCTCAGGCTGGAGGCCAGAGGTGACACTTTTTTTTTAAAAAGACTGATTCATAGTGTAAATGATTAAAAAGCAATTAGAGGTAACTGTTTCATATGGAGCAGTGTTAAAATGAGAGTTAGTTAAACTTATTAGCTCATTGTTTGTGTGCGTATGAACTGAGTAAAATGCCATTCACAGGGTTGGTGCTTGTCCTGTAGGTCTGTTTTCTGCTCGGAGCCTGTGTGGTACTTCAATAGCCAAATCCCTTTAATAGTGTTGATCTCAGGCCAGATTTCTTATAGCAATTGTGATAGAGCCACAGCTTCAGTGTAATTATCTTTAATAAAGAGATTTTTTTTTTTTGGTCCAAAGGATAATATTTTCAGTTTTGTGTTAGCACCACATTTGATGAATTGCGGCTCCCTGTAGACTCATGTGCTCCGAATTTTCCTACTTATACCACTAATTTCTCACTTTATAACGGCAAGTGCTCTTCGCGAGCAATGCAGTGAGCACTACAATAGCATTGTGGGATGAAAGCGCTATGAAGGAAGCATTTTAGCAATACTTCGAAGCTGAGAGAGACCAAGAGGGCTTCATGCAAGGGCCAAGGTTACCAGTGAAATGAGTTTTACAGAAACAAGAGAACTTTTCTTTTTAATGGCTGAGGGGTTCAGAACATTACTGTACAGAAAAAGCAAATGCAAAGAAACAGGTGTACAAGAGGTCCCTGTGTGTTGGAGGAACTGCCCGCAATTTGGAAAGCTAGGAGATTTTAGACAAGAGAGATTTCATGTTTGGAGGTGGCAGTGAAGAACAGCCAGCCTGCTCTCTTTAGTTCCGGTGGTGCCAGAGCTGTGGGAGAGGAAAGGCCCCCTGATGAGAGAGTTCTGTCTGGGGAGCAGCTGCTGAGGGGACAGCACAGGGTGTCGCTCAGCATAGCAGTGCTCACCCTTGCGGATACCAGCATCGTTTGGGGGAGCTTGCAACCTACTGAGGCCTGGGCGCTGGGAGTTTGTAGAAG